AGCACCATTCTCATTGTTTCAGCTTGTTTCTTCTAGTCTCTTTTTAACAAATACTGCTGCATTTAAAGCAAATGACTTAACTGAACTACTGAGGAGCTCAGTGTTTTTCCATGACTCTTTCAAAGCAAAATTCTCCTTTGTTATTTTGTTTAATAAGCAGACTTCTGTCTCCCAGTCTTCCCCTGCTCCTGCCTGTCTTTTGGCACAACTCGATGTGAGAATTGTGATACTTACCACTACTGAAATACCCTGACCTACACTCCACAAAAGCAGCAGTGAACTTGACAGAGAAAAATACAAAAAAGCCTATTTGTAACGCAGAAACAACAAAAACTTCACACTTTGTGTTTCGGATGTTTGTTTGTTCTTTATCTGCTGTGCAAATTCATTTGGTTTTGATTACAAATCACTGGGGTATTTTTTCCTGCTTTTTTAAAAAAAACCAAAATTTATACAAAATATTATACAGGAAGAACTCAATCTCCATTGCAGTTATGGAGCTTTTCAATGGGTGCAAGAGTAGACCTTCTGCAACCCAGCTCAGGTGTTACAAATCTATGCTTTTGGAGCTTAAATATATTACAAGCAAAATGCAGTTCAGAAAGGATAGTGGCATGTACTCCAAGTACTGAATCAATGCATAAGCATATTATAAGTCTAGCTGTGTCATATAGGTTTTAGCTACCTCATATGAAGACAGCCATGTTTTCACCTCAAATAGTTAGAAAATATTCTGCTAAGCATCCATACTTAGAGAATAACTTAAGTAACTCCATTTTCATATTATTTCCATTCATACAAAATATTTACCAAAGCTTAGTGAAAAGGAGGTACTGATAACTATGGCTGTTCAGTTATCAGACATGTCTATCAGGTATATACTAGAACAATATTCTTGGGCATCTTAGTCAAAACCAGTGTATTAACAAGTAATAGTTGATGTGAGACTGAATCAAAAGTGCCTTTTATTTTTTTTCCTATAATTTTATGCCCCTTTTAGTTTTATGTATATTTAATGTTCATTTATCTTCTAACTTGGTATTTATCTATTCGTTAGAAAGAAGGGAGTGGAAAAGTAGGGTTTGTATTTCTGATGGCTTTGGAAAGAGAACAATGGGAGTAAAACCTTACCTCAAAATATATTCTCCCCTCTAGTAGTTTTGCTTTCATTTGCCTCTTTCTTCCCTCCCCAGCCATACTCTTTTCTGAATATACATCCATCAAAATATTTCTAAAACAACTTAAGCCTTTATAAAAAGGTTCTTCATCATTCATAGAGTTTTCTAAATTGATTTTCCAAGATGCTAATTAAAACTTTTATTTGTCACTCACCACACACATGACTTTTCTCTGTTTCTGACATAAGCGCCTCTTGCTGCCTTTTTCCCAAAAGGCAGCTTATTATTTGCAAGCTTGTGGTCAGATGCTGTGCAAACACAAAGAGACAGTTCACCAGGAAAAGTAACCAAGGATTATTTTACTAACACTCCTATTCATGTAATCCGATGTGACATACACATTCAAGTTACTTGTGTGCACATCTCTAAAATCTGTTCCCAGCATACTGAAGGGAAAAAAATGCAAATTCTCTGACTTTTGTTTTATCAGTGAGTTTGTTTTGCTTGTTTTTTTGTTTGTTTGTTTGGTTTTGTAGTTTCTGGGAGTCATTTAACTTAATTATTCTTTTTCTTTTTCTTTAGTCATGTTTGTCTCTGATCTATGCTCTTGCAAATGCACATGTATTGCTTCTGAAAAGTAAGATGCACATCACAGAAAACAGGATTTTAAAGACCTAAAGGGGAACAAAAGTACATATGTGTGTGCGTGTGTAAAGTAGATGCTGATTTTGTTAGCCATATCTCAAGCAGCTACAACTATCTTCATCTTCCCATGTGGCTTTCTGGTTATTTACCTTTGATTAGCAATGTATTTATGTGAAAACAGGTGTAACCTAAATAAAACTCTTAATTACTAAGGAAGCTAGTGCATTTATTTCAAAGGTCTGTTAAATATGAACTCTAGCTATTATTTCATTCTGTGATATGTTTTAAGTTCTTCCATTCCAATTTTTTAAGTATTTGTATCTAAGACAAAATGACTGTTCAGGTTTTCAGGGAGACTGGACAGGACTGATGAGATTAAAATGTTGCAATTCTTAAAAATACTTATATGCCCTGAAAGAATATTTCTGGAGTGAACTGACAGTGATGTAAGAGCTTCAGTGAAAGGCAAACTTAAATCCAAGGACTTCATGTTGATTCACGTAGTCACTTGAAGTTAAACTATTTGCCTTAACTATGGCCACATCTCCATTCTTCGTCTTACCTGAATTAGTAATATCAATCTCCTTCCCCGTATCTTCCTAGGGAATGTGACATTGAATTCTTTATGCAAGGCCATTCTAGGTTCAAATGCCTTATTTTTTTTCCATTACTAACAGCCATACATGCTGCATTGAGATAAAAATGTACATAATTGTCTAAACAGAAACAAAAACTCAGAGAGAAGGACCATTTCGGATTCTCTACGATGAATCTAAGACATTATGTGTATTGTAGCTATACACAGCCTCAAATACCTACAGGCTTAAATATCCTCTGCTGTGATTTGCAGCCCCAGCTGACTCAGTGTATTAGTCCCAACTAGGATGTTTTTGCTTCTGGGTGGTGGTCTGTTCTTGGATGCAGTATGTGTGAATCTCAGTCTCTTCTGCTTTGTTCAGTGACTGGCCCCACGGTTACAGTCCTGGTCAAAGCATTTTTGCTGAATTAGGCTATTCCTTTAGTCCAGCTGCATCCTGTTTGTTGCCTGGGCTGATTTCAGTCTCAGGCTGCTTTTCGCTTTCTTTTCAGTTCCACCTTTTTGCCCTGATTGGCCAAAACCATAGGGCTGGGAACGGTCCTTCACTAAGTTTGAGTGTAGCAAAGCTTCTCCTGAGGGCCAGTCCTCTACTGTCAAGTAACAACAAAAAATCTGGTGTGTGATTTCCTCCCATCTATCTCACATGCACAACTCTCTACCAGTTGCCCTCTGTCCACAGATATGGACAGAAATGTCCTTTTAGTACTGTTGCACATAGAGAGCTGAGGTTCTGAATATTCTCTGTTTTTGTTTCAACTCTCTTTTCCCATGCTATTAAATATTTTTAGTAGGCATCTGGGAGAAAAGTGGTATGATAACAGAAGAAAAAGTGCTAAAAGTTCATGTCTAAATCTCATCTTCTGCACACACAATTAAATAGCAGCATGTCCCCCATGTTCTTCTGTAGCTGTTAAAATGCAGCCATCAAAAACAGAGCCCAGGCAATCTGAAATGGTGGTGTAGAAGAAAGTGCTTTTTGCAACTTGTTCTGTATTTTCTTCCTCTATTTACAACAGCTGCTTTCAGACTATTACTCTAGATGCTTCTTTTTAATTTTTTGGAAACTGCACAGTGGTTCTGGAAGCCCAATAGCATCAGTGGTGGTACGTGCTAGCTCCATCTGTGATGAGTGACAGGGAGGTTCTTAGTTCAGTGAAACACATCTAGCAACAGTGATTCACACATGACCCTCAGGTTTATCTAACACAGCAGGAATTTGTGCTGAATGCTTGTATGTATATGAACGAATAATTCAGTAAGTGACCACATGCACTTCAAATGCTGAGTAGCTTTATGACCACCAGTGGTCTCCTGTTTATTAGGAGGGAAAGGGAGAATGTTATTTGAAAAGTCTGAAATGGAAATGCCTATATTCATTTCACTTGTTGAATTACTGGTATTGTTGCTCAAGAGTCTTTCCTTAATAACGTCAAGGCTATATTGTCATATGTAAACACAGACCATCTAATCTCTCTTTTCTGTGATTCTGAATGAAGCAATTTAACTGTGTTTCTTAACTGGGATTTTGTTTGGTTTATTTGTTCAGTACGTTGAAGAACCTTGCAAAAGCTGCAAGTGTGAAAGTATATGGCATATTTTCGGAAAAGTCAGGAACCTGGCATAGCAATCCTTTTGTGGTGGTCAAATGGTATGAATAGCTCTCTTGACAAAAGGCTTATGTATTAGGTCTCAAGGAACTTTTTAACTGGATAACAACTGGCTTTCAAAGGTTTCACATTTGTTTTTCTGTGCCAAGTGTGTATGGGAGAAGCCTACAAGGTCAAGAGAAAATAAGCAAAAGTCAAAGGCAGACTTGTAAGACAAATAGTAACATCTGGAAAATGACTTCCTTCTACATTTGTAGAGCTCTTGTTTACTGCAGTGAATGTGAAATGTTTCTCTTGGCAAGATTATAGGATTAAAATCCATCAGTCTGGGAATAAAGTTCATGCAGGTTTATACTATTACTAATACACAGTTACAAATTTCAAATGTAGTTGTGTTTAAAATCTGTATATAGAAAAAACAACCCCAAAACGTCAAATAAATGCTAAATGGTTAGAAAATTAGTAGGTTTTATTATCTTTTTTGGTAGTTTTTGAGGGGCATTTTGAATATTTCTACTGCCTTATACTAGCATATGCAGGACTGTGATTGTTTCTTCTGTCAATTGACTACCATGTAAATCAGTCTTTATGCTAATTAAAGGCCCATGTTATCTGTCAGAGAGACAATGGAGCAAGCCAGCTAAATCCTGCTAGTGGTTTAGGCTGAAGACATTACACAAATGAAGTTTTGTGTATCTAATGGGACCCCAAAAGGGGAAAAATATGCTGAAGAAAAGTAAGTAAAAGAGGTAGAGCTGGTCTAGTTTGGTGAATTTCTGTGATGGCTCCTAGCTGATCCCACACTACCATCCTTCCTGACAGAATATTCAGGGAGAAATGGTCATACAAACAGAGCTTAATTTCTGTGGAACTCTCTTCCCAGATAAATGTTTTTCTTCTATGGAAGGAAAAAAACTAAACAAAAAAACCCCCTCAAATAAAACCCAGAGGAAAGATTGTATAATTTTTGATAACATGGATATAACAAACAAATAACTTGGCCCTTCTCCTTGCTCTATCTTCCTTCCTTCTAGGACCTGAATTCTGCAGAGGTTAAAAAGAAATCAGGGACAGCTGGGCCACTCAAACAGAAGTTGCAAAGGTTTATTCAGTTGTAGGAGTACTTCAGTGAGTTCATGTAATCATTTAAAGTTTTATTCTCTGGAAATTAATGTTCTTGTGGTATTCTGCATTGCTTGGACTTTGTTCAATGTTAAATAGTTTAACTGGAACAACAGAAGTGATCTCCTCTCAGATCAGGACTCTTGATCAAATGGAAACTGAAAAAAGTCCATGGGGCTAACTGGTTCATAGACTAAAATCAGTCTTGTAGTTTAGTCTCAAATACATTGTGGAAACTTCTTTGTAGCTTTTAAAAGTTTTAGCTGTGATATTAACTGAGTCTCTAAGGCAAGGCAAATGAAGATTTCTTCATGCTTGCAGGAAACAGAAAAGAGGGTTGAAAGGGGTTCATGTAACTATCTTTCTGTAGAGTTGTGTCTAGATGCATTTCTAGAACAGTTCCAAACCCCATGATTATAATCTGGCAGTATGTGTGTATCTAGTATCAAATCCTTTGCATTACATAAAACATCAGGCCAGTTTCCAGTGAGCAAAATGTGTCTGTGTTGTCAAAAGTCATGTTCATTACAGATTATTTGCTAGTTAGTTCTCATGACATTATACCATCTTAGCTGCATTGACTTGAGCACAATCTTTCCTGATTTAAACTTATGTGTGCAACATGGCCCTTTACATTTATATTGATAATGAAGCCTGTTTATTCTCTTCAATAAAAGCAGGACAACCCAGTCTGCTTGAAAATCAGGATGAATTGTTCAGATGTCCTTGTAGTGAGGGAAAGTTGTACTTTGCTGTTGTCTTTGATTAAAGTGCTCTTTGCCACTACCTGACTTCCCTACGGATTTTACAAGCCACATGTCAGCAAGTGTAAGAGCCAATTTCTTGCTCTTTGTAAGTTGAGCTATGGGGAGGTCTTGGGAGCAGAGCACTGTAATGGACTATGAAAGTCTGAGAGCAATTATTTTGAGCTAATCAAACACAATAAATAGCAGGAAGCAAGGTTTATTTTTGGAAGAGATGTCTACTAAGAAAACTGCAGTTTTTATTTACTACTTGCAAAGATTACTAGAAAATGAACTAAACAAAAGCCCTGTAACCTTGGAAATAAGGACAGTTTAAAAATTAACAGGAAAGGAGAAAAATCCCTCATGTATTTAAAAGATGCAAGCTCATTGTTTCATGTCTGCTTTCTGGATAACATGATATCTTTTCATGTTTCTAAAGGTGATAATACCATGAAAACGATTAAGACAACAGGAATTGGATGTTTCAAGGTGAGTCAAGCTTAATTTATTTTGAAACTTAAAGTTTTAAGTTGTAGACTAGGGCAAATTATTTATAGTCCAGATTCAGGCCAGTGCATTGCTACATCAACCCCTAGGCAGCTTAGGGGGAAATTTCACCTTAAGCATGAAAGAGCTTTATTTCTCTGCAGAGTAGAAAGCTCCCCAAAGCTACCCCACTTCAGAGAATATAGAGTATTACATTTCTAGATACTCTTATTCTTTCCCATGCCAACATCTTTTTCTATTTTGGGATGCTGGAGGGGACAATTGCTCCCTGATGTCGCAGTAGAAAAGGTGTCTCATCCATTTGTATAACCGCTTGGTAGATTTCGTGTGTATTGTTCTACTCTCCATTGTTACGGTCACACTCTGGCTTTGTATCTGGCATCAGCTGTAATCAAATGTAGGCTACTTACTTAGGTTGCCACAAAATTGAAGCTCAGACTTCTATTACAGAATACTTCGTGAAATTTGTGTCCTATATTTTATCATGATGATGTGTTTTGTATGTAATGTATTTTTTTTTGGTGAGCTACACTGGGAGGATTGTGCTGATGCTTCCCTTTTATTCAGCACTGATAAGATCCACCCAAGCCTTCTCTTTTCTGAACTGAACAGTTTCACCTTTCCTCATGAGAGTCCCTCAATCATCTTGGTGGTTCTTCTCCGGACCCACTCAGCAGTTCCATCTCTCTTGTATCAGAGAACACCAGGGATGGCCTTATCAATGTGTATAAATACCTGAAAGGATGGTGCAAAGAAGATGGAGCCAGGCTCTTTTCAGTGGTGCTTAGTGCCATGGCAAGAGGCAGTGGGCACCAAGTGAAACGCTGGAGGTGCTGCCTGAACTGCAGAAAACACTTTTATACTGCGAGGGCAACTGAACACTGGCATTGTTCAACAAGGCTGTGGAGTAATGTCCTGGGTTTAGCAGTGGCAGTCATTTTTCTCTTTCTTGGTAGCTGGTGCAGTGCTGTGTTTTGACTTTCAGCTGGGAACAGAGCTGAAAAACAATGATGTTTTGGTTTGGCCAAGGACTTTGTGGGCCTCATGCTCTACCAGGGAGGAGGGAAGCTGGGAGGAAGCAGAGACAGGACACCTGACCCAAACTGACCAAAGAGGTATTCCATACCATAGCACGTCATGCCCAGGAGGTAACTGGGAGTTAGCCGGAAGGGCAGGTGGACTGCAGGGTTGGAGGAGGTATCGCTCGGTGCTTGGTTGGGCTGGAGGGGCAAGTTATCGGTCGCCTGGTGATGGGGTGTTGTATTCTCTTCCCTTGTTATTTCCTTTATCATTACTATTATTGGTGGTAGCAGTAGTGATTTGTGTTATACCTTAGTTACTAAACTGTTCTTATCTCAACCCGTGGGAGTTGCATTTCTTTTTGATTCTCCTCTCCGTCCCTCCAGGAGTAGGGGGAGGGCAAGAAGGGGGGGGAGTGGGTAACAAGCTGCCTGGCTGTGGGTTAAACCACGACAAGTCTCTCACCCTGGAGGCACTCAAAAGCCATCACTGGGCAGTTGGCTCTAGGTAGCCCTGCTTGAGCACCAGGGATTAGGCAGATGCTCTCCAAAGGTCCCTTCCAACCTCAACCATTCTGTGATTCTGCAAAGGGTGAGATGAGCCATATGCATTAAATAGCATGTTTCTGAGTTTCTTGGAGCTCAGTGCTTCTTAGAAATCTAGATGGAGCCACACTCCACAGTCCCTAGAATAGGAAAGAGAGTCTCCTCTGCAAATCAAAAGAGCTGTTTTTCTCATCTCTTCTATTACCATCTGTTCACAATAGACAACTCATGTTAATAAAATCTCAGCTCTGAAAATACTTGACAAAAATCTCCACCAACCAGTCAATCATAGACTGACATAAATATTGAAGAACACTAGAATGTCTTGGCCCAACTATCAGACATATCTGGATGCACTGGACAATTGTTCAAAGGTTCATTGCGCATAACTGTGATTCTGACATGTGAATACTGTCTGCCCAGATTATTAAAGAAAATAAAAATAAAGCCGTCTATTTATGACACTTGCAGGTCACTTCCTGCTTATGTAGTTCTTGAAGATAAATGCTGTGAAGTATGTAGCAGTGCCTCTTGTATTTTAAATTAATTCAAGAAGGCATACTGGTATTTATGACACCGTAATTTCATACAAAGGAAAAGAGAGAAATCATGCTTTTAAGAGAAAAAAAGCTGCCAAAGAAAAAATTTTGTGTGAGCAACTGAAATGGCCTTATAAATAAAATAATATTTTATTAACAACAAATTAGAGTTTCAGAGAAACATGTATTATTTTCTAAATCAAAGCTTGTTTGTTTTGCTTTGTTTTGTGTTTTCCCAGATACAGCATATGAATGGAAACATCCTGACCCTTTTCAGTGTATCTGGTGAGGTTTCTGTTATTTTTCAACTCTGTAGATTTCTCTGATAAATGCATCATGGATTCAGCCCATAACTGGTGATCGGACGTATCGGGGAAATGAAAGTAATTTTTTAGTTGCTCTTTGCTAGCACATTATATTCTGCATCTGTGTTAGATGGAAGTATGCTGCTCTGGTGCCAGTAAACGCTGTGTGTTTATACTTGAGATGTTTCCTGTGAGCTTCTGGAAGCTGTTGGACTAGATCCTCAGAAAACATGAGCAATTACAGTTACATTGGATTTGGTCAATAAGAAGACTTTTTACCTGCATTTATGGCTATAAAGGGTTAACAGTTGCATTTATTTTGATTTAAACAGAGCTTTGCCAAAATATTTACTTCAAGGACTGTCTTTGTAAGCTGCAAGGGAAACAAGCCTATGTTAATCTCTTCCTCTTTGGGAAGAGACTTACTTCTTTACAGTGCAGCAAAGACCGTATCTGTGAAGAAGTAATTTCACAAATAATCCAAAAGAGATATCCATGGCATGTCACTTCTTTTCCAGAGAAACAATATGTAGGTGTTTCAATGTTGTCTAAGATTAAGAAAGGTCAATGTCTTTTTTGGAAACTATTGAATAAAAAATCGCACTGAGTCCTGAATAGCCCTGACATCCTTCAGCTGTAATGATTGCAACTTTCGTAGCTCTTGGAAATAGAATTAAGGAGAGTTTCTTTACTTTCCCCCTCACTTGCACAGGCACGCAGAGGTGGGACAGAGGTTTGTCAATTGGTTCCTTTGTTGCTGGCAGACAAAAAGGTAAGTTAGTGTTGCAACCTTCCTTTCCCTTTCTTTTTTAAAAAGTTTGCTTGAAAGACTGAGACTAAGATCAAGAGCTTTGCAGATGTATCAAGAATTAATGACCTTTGCGTAAGTCACACATCCCGTGCCAAACAATCTATCCCAGCTGAGGTGATGAGTACAGAGACAAATTCTGACAGGGAGTATGTCATGGGAGTAGCAACTGTACAGGAACAATTATTGGGAATGACTTCTTAGAGGGAAAACAAAAGAAGATGAGAGATTCAGAGAAAGATGTGACCAAGATGTCCATAGAAATGAAAGTTGACTGATCTGACAAGTCTTGGATTTCCAAGTCTGTAGATCCGAATGGGTCTGATTTTTTTAATTTTATTTCTTTTTTTTTTACCTTACAGCCTTTTTGGCTTTCCCTTGTGTTAGTATGAGACAGAGGTATTCTCTTACACAGTGATCCCCTTAAGCTTTTCCTACTTATCTGTCTTTCAATCATATTGAAGAATCCAGGCCTTTTGATATGATCCCCTACCGCAGATGAGGATTAGCTGGAATAAGGGGTATTACCAACTTCATGCTAGGCAAGATTGAAGTATAGCTAAAGGAAAATATGCATGGAGCTCTTTGGTATGGCTTTTTGTCTCTGTGCTGTAGACCTTTCAAGGAAAGAATAAGAAATGCTTTCTTTTGGGGAAGCCATTTTGAGCTACTACTCAGTCAGCGTCAAATTCAGTTTGTCCTCATTAAGAACAAGGGTAGTTGCAGCCTATAGACATGCTGAAAGAATACCTGGGCCACGACTGATGGAGTCATCACAAGGGCGAAAGGTATTAAGCCTTGATTTAGTGTGCAAAACTGTTTTAAGTTGCATTTAAACTTTCTTTCTGTGCCAGAAAAAAATAAAATGTCTTATATATTTGTCCATGCAGAAGAGTTGGGCCAATTTGCAGTCCTGTGACTGGATCCTTACTATGGAAACTTCTGCATCAGGCCTTAAATCAAAACTATGTGGGTAACACCTGTCTGCGCCCTTGAATAAGGACAGTGATTGCTGCAGTATAATAGGGTCTTTGCTAATGAAATTAAAACATCTAGGAAATAAAACAAGATGGGAGTTATATAATTGTAAGGCAGCCCCTTCAAATATGAAATGCTGGGTCATCATCAGGGATAGTACCAAGAAAAAGACAGAGGACATTGCTGACATTGCTTTGCTACTATATGAAAATTTGGCTTTGCTTGCATCTTAAATATTGTGTGTGGCAATTGTCTCCCCAGCTTTAAAAGTACAGACTGCAGTTAAAGGACGTACAGAGAAAGGAAACTGAAACAGTTAAGAGGATGGGGCTGTAGCACAGCAAGAAGACTGAAATGTCTGGAACGTTCAATAATTTGTTTTTACAAAGCTATGGAGAAGACAGATTAGCCAAGTGGATTCTGCGAAACCCAACAAAAGCTCTTGAAGAGGGGACAGAATACTTGGCTAGATGAGCTGAACCCTAGTAGGGTGTTTCTTATGTTTTTGTGGTTTTTCAGGCTGCCACATAGTGTCTGGTGTAACCAAAGGCTAAAGATTTAGGTGAATAATTTTTCCAGCAGAATTTAAAGAATTTTTTTTTCTTTTTCTTTTTTTGGGGGGTTGGCTAATTCAACTGTAAAACACACTGTAAAACATCAGTCTGTAAGAAAATGTTTTCTTCTTTCTTTTGACTGTAAATCAGGCGTTTTGTCCTCATGGAACAGAAAGTTGTTCATGTGGTGGGGTTTTTTTGCTTATTTGGTTGTTTTTTTTAATAAGACTTCAATGAGTGCTTGGAATTCAGTACAATTGCACGTGAAGCAGGGTGAGGAGGTACAATTATATTTTACTTTTGGAAAACAGCCTGGGACTTCTTGTGATTTCAATTAACATTGTAAACAATCTATAAAAGAATTCTGGGAAAATGTATTTTCACAACTTAATATAATTGTATGGTATTCAGTAATGCCTTAATCTTGTTAACTTTTCTGTTCTCAACTAGTACACTCTACTTTTTGACATCTTGATGGAATGAGCTCCTAGGTCTGACTAAAATTGGCAAAGTTGATCCTTATTTGGGATTAATTTAATTCAGTTCATTATAGATTTGAGTCTTCTATCCTCTGTTTTGGGGAAGGTTGTAATTATTTAATTTTTGGTGAAAGAAAAGATTACTTCTCTCTCTTCACTTTTTCCCTTCATTTCAGTAGTATGCTACTGTCATGTCTCAGAGCATGAAGTTTATTTCTTTGTAAGCCAGCTGACACGAGACTATCTATACAATTAGTTTAAACAGCCTTTTGGATACATATCTTTCAGCATTGATGGACAATCACACTTTTATTATGCTTTCTGCTCTCTCTGAGATGATGTAGAAGAAAGGTAAATTATTGCAAGCAATTTTATACACTCAAGCAAGATTTTTCAGGAAAATAATTATGCTGCTGAAATTTGTGAGTGCCAGCTTAAAACCAATATGGTAAATAAATAATAGCAGAAAGAACTTGGGGATATTTCTGCACCAGGATGTCTATGATTATAGTTTTGTATAATTTCTTTTAGCACGCATCACAAGACTGGGCACAGTCTAAATGATATACCCTGAAGTGGCCATTTTCATTCTGCTGGTTCCTGCTACTCTGTCTCTTATCCTCCCCTGGAAGCAGAACAGGGTTTTCCACAACAACCTGGGGGAGGAATAGAGAGAAGTTAGGCTTTACTCCTTTCAGACTCAACCATCAGCCCTTCACCTTTTGACCAATAAAAGGCCAGAATATTTTTTCTGTGGAAAATAGATCCTAAGCAAGGAGTGAACAGTGATCCTGTGCTGAGGTGTAGGATCTGAAGGTATGGGAGAAGAAGACAAGGAGTGGGTCTCTGTGTCCCAGTGACACTTCACACAACTTCTACAGTCAAGGCCTGGAGGGGTCACAGACCCCTTCACAGCGCTTCCCAGTGAGATCAAATTCTCTCAAGCAGGAGACTTGTAAAGAGAAGGAAAATCCCCCTAAGTATCTGCAGATACCTTTTTGACTTGTTTTGCAGATATTTCAATAGTTGGCATTATCACGGTAGTCATATATTGTGTCAGTAACACGGAAGATTCCAGCAGTGTCACCTATTGCTGTCACAGTCATTATCGCTAAGGCAGTTATGTCTTGACAGCCAAACTTAGTGCACTCTTTGGGAGTTCGGGGGGAGGCAGGAAAAGCAGAGCTGGTGTTTGACAGCCTGCACCTGGGAGAATGCATGCACCCTTTTATGCCTTATCACATGGCTATACCAGCCAAATACTTTCTTTGTGTGTCAGGAAAAGGTGCAGTGACAGGAGCTGGCTGCCAGTATTTGATAAAAAGGTGGTCAGGGAGAGAATCAGATGGTTAGCTGAAACTCACATGCTAAAAGATGTGTACCTATGACTGATATTTGAAGTTGCTATGATGAAAGAATAAGTGACCTTTTCAATGCTGATAATAGATCACGGAGTCAGGTCTTCGGCAGTTTTACAAAGTCTAGGTTGTAATGTTTCTTACCTTTGAAAATATATTTGAAGATTAATGCTTAGAAAGGATAAAATTATTGGAACATGTTTGCAAAATTCCTGGTTTGTTTTTGTGTTGTTTTTTTTTTTTTTTCCTTTAGCTCTTTAGAAGAACTTTTAGAGAGTCACAGTAGCAACCTGTTTTTCTTGACTTTCACTGATGTCTGACTTAGCAAGTGACCCTGCAGGCCTTTACTCTCTTTTTGTGCTCATTGATGGCCAGCACCTCTTGCCCTTGGAGATGCTGGCCTCAAACACTTTTGTGGTTTGACATGGCTTAAGATTGCTTCAGCTATGAGCCTCACAAACAAAAGTTAGGTTTGATATAGCTTCAATGCCAGAAAATAAACACACGTACATTTAAAATACAATGAAAGTCAGGTAAAGTTTTTCTAGGGTTTTTAGTTCAATCACTACAGCCCTACTCAACTAGGGAGCCTAGATAACAAGAGCAGAAGGAAGAGTCCTGCCTGCCTTTCATGTAGACAAACCTGACTTCTTCATCCTTTTCAAGGCAACAGAATGTCAAGTCAGGTTGTGTTGCCTAAGGCTGCTATGCAGTGAGGGGATTTAAATGTAACCTCCACATACAGAAAAAGGAAGTCCCTTAATTCATTCAATATTTTATTAGAAATCTCTTAATGCCGGTCTTATTCCTAAAGGTAAACATCTCAGAGGCTTTTCAAAGCCTGTATTTCATTATTTAATAATCTGTTTTCAGTAACACAATTCCCTAGGTTTGAGTTTGTAACTAAGTCCACAGGCTGGAAATATCAGCAGTCCAGAATCTGTTAAATAATTAAGCCATTGGTGCCTGTAAGTGTTAGGACTTGAATCACTCATATTTTATTTGCACAAACTGCTGGGGGAAAAAAAGTGCCATGAAAAAAGACTACTTACTAGCTCTTCTTAAGGACAATATGACTTTTGTCTGCAATGGCATGGTTTGAATTTTTGCTTTGAAAATCCTATTTTTAGGAAAATAATTAGCAGTGAGCCTGTACATACCTGGCTTTTTGTGTAGCACAATTTCACATGTATGTAGTAGAGTTCTCCCATCTTCTGGACTCACTGGAAATTCCTACCTCCATTCAGAGGTTATGCACATTTTCATAGGTCTTCTGTATGGCAACTATTCTAAAGAATTCCTGGAAATAGCCATTGAAAAATACAAGATAGTGCTTGTCTGTGGGCCGCCACAGCCTTACACTAGGTGTGTGTGTTCATTCTTGTGCTTGCACACACTTGCGTGCATATACGTGAAGACAAGCATACGTTTGCATGCATCCCGTCTCTCAAATGTGGGCAATCTCTCTGGAGGTAGCTGAAGACCTAATAGTCAGACTACTCATTTTGACATCTCAGACACTGAGGTGGAAGTGGGATCATTTTGAACACATAGGATATGACATGGCCTGCTCTCTAATCTCAAGCAGATGGAGGCAGGGCAGTCTGCTGAGGGAGTTTCTCATCTATGAATGATATATGCAATGATTTTTCTTCATCACAGATGATGAGATTGTTTTTATCATAGTACCATTTACCCTGGAGGAGGACAAAATAGTACAATCGTGAATGTAGTGTGAGAGAATAGGAGTTCAAGGAGGGAGAGCAGAGGGCTTTTGTGAGTACTAATAACATGCACTCCCTAATTAATCCAGACAGAAACCAGTTGAGCGAGTGCCATGATTAGGTATGGAACCAGAGTACTTTCTTCTGTAGACAATTTGAATAATTCAGTTGCTATGTAGAGTGAGAAAGCTAGATAGAAATGAGGGGAAGGAAAGGTGTTTTTGAAGGGGAAGAAAATGAGATTTTGTTGAAATATTGTACGACATAAGAATATTTTCTTCATTCTGCTAAATGGGATTCTGTATTTGTCAGTGCAAAAAGCAGATTAGTACAAGGCAGGAATATACTGACTGTCTTTAATGCAGGTTTTTGTTCTGTTGCACATGACAGTATGACAATGCTACTTTTCTGTTTCCATTATCAAACATGCTTGTTAAGCTAAAGTCCTGAAAGAAGTGATTAGAATTAGTGGTATTGGGTTTTTTTTTTTTCATTGCATCCATTTGTTTACTTTGGCTTTTTAAAATAATTTGAGATTCTTCTGATCTGTAGCAGGAGATCTGTCTGCATTCCCTTTGGTTTATTTGCTGTGTTTACAAGCTTAGGCTATACTGACATCGTTACTAAGGAGAAACTAGCTTTTGGAGATGCAGGAAGCTTTAGCAACTGTGTGTGCACATACAGAATTTAAACATACAAACATTACAGTAATTTTTTTGCTTTCAAACTACTCATAAACTGCAAAGTCCTAGAATTAGGCCCACCTCTCTCTTCTGTATGTCCATTATAAAATAGTTGGTAATTTTGGTTATCAGGATGAGGTGAGGTTTTGAGGTGAACAAATTGCCTCAATCTAAAATATTACAAAAACCTGAAGCTTGCTTTTCAGATCACCATATATTTTAGGATCACCTTTGTCTTGGCTAGGATTGACTGGAATTATTTGCTGCCTTGATTTAAACATCATATTGACATATTGTTGTGATTAGCTGTGAAAAGAATATGGAGATATTCAAGATTAGTCAATATCCTGTGAACTAAGCAGGCTGTGACTGTTTTCTGCAGTTGAGTAATGGTGTCACAAGACAATCCAAGAGTTTCTGTTATTATGAAGACATCCCATTTCTTTAATAGCTATAATTTAATTATGAAGGATTTTTTCTAAAATGTTAGCAGTAATTGAAAATATGAATACTGAACCTAAAGATCTTCCTTTTGTAGTATCTTTTTGATTCTCTTCTAAAATCAACCCCCTGCCTTTTGGTTTATTTTATCAAAGTTTGGAATGATGATTTTAGCAAGTAAAAATGATTTATTTGTAGAACATTATGTTTTCATCCCATTATATTTCTGGTGGTTTTCCAGGATATAGTACAACTTATTGTTATATTTACCTTTTCTGTGCTGGAAAGGAAGAAAAGTGGAGCTTCTAAAACATAGCTTAAATCTCAAACTAATGTTTTCATGCACAAACTAATAGAGAAAGTGTCTTCTGCTATCACTTCTACCTTGTGGCCTAAGACTATTTCATTCTAGTTCATGGTGTTTCTCCTAGAACAAAAGAACAGAATTCTTTTTTTTTTTTTTCTAGCTTTGCTGCTAGGATTTGAAAAAACCCTGCAATGCAATTGTGCTCTGTTCCAGCCCAGTGTCGCTATTGTTTTGAGTCACTACAATTGTTGAAGTGGGCAGTCTTAACATGGATACCATTCATTTGTCCACTAATCCTTTCAGTGCTAAAACTTGCTGATTTGCCTTAGTGAAAGTAATTCAAAACTGTAGCAGCAACAGAGGATAAAGCCAACT